AGTGCATCTAAAGCTTCTGAGGCGTTGTTTACTTTTACTTGAGAATTGTCAAAATCGGTAAATCCCAAGTAGCGGTTTCTGCAACGTGCCACATTTGTTCGCTACATCGCACAGTGGGACGTCCCCATATAAGCTGCGCTGACAATTCGTATATGCGCTGTTTGGCACATAGGAATGAAGAAATGTGGAAAATGGTAAAATTCAACGCACTACCACGCCCACAGCTCTTGTGGGTGGAAATAATAAATGTTATCCGATTCTGATGAAATTCAGAGCATATGCTGGTTTTAACGAGAAAAGCTTGAATTTGAAAGATCGTCAAAATCGGTTTACATTATCATCCAGCAATTCTAGAATAAAAGGCACAAATTAAAAAAAATACAATTTTTTTTTTGATGAAATTTGGTGTGCCCTGCTCGTTTAAGCCAAATTTTCCAACTTGGAAGATTATAAAGAATTTCTTTTTACGGCGCCTACCTCCGACACAACTTTTTTGGGTCCAAGTACTAAATTTTATGAATTTTGGAGAAAACTAAGAGGCACATTTATTTTATTTCTAAAGAAGTTCCTATTTATTAATTTTAAAAATGACAAAACGAAAACATTTACAATACCTGCATACTTAATTATGTGCACGCTATGTATTTACGCTGAAACTTTCAATTTTACCTACTTTTTATAAAACAAAAGCTGAGCTAAGGCAAGCAGGACTCTTGCCATCGAAAACGGATCTCGTCCAGAGAAGCGTCCATTTTTGGCTGAATGTTGATTGTGATTAATAGATTGGCGAGCCATTAATATCTACACTTTCTTTAATTTCCACTTTATATTGCATATTATTCAATATTTTATGTACATATCAGAGTCTTTCCTTTCAGCTCTACAATAAAAATTTAATAAATCTTACAGGAGGTGGGTCTATAAAAGGAAGAATAGAAGCTAAATTCGCAGTTCTTCGCAGCTGGATTTATTTGAGATATGACCCGCATATTTAATGTTTACTTCTCCTAAGTATAATTTAGCTCCCTCCTAGGTAATTTTTAAATATACCTTTTTAAAGTAAGCACTCTAAAAATTTTACACTCACAAAATTATGTAGAATTTCAAAGTAAACTGTTTTATACATTTCAAAAGATTTATAAAAATTTTAAGCAATGTTTGACCACAGATATATTCAAAAACTGCTCATCATTCAGATTGGCTTTAGATATATACGCACAAGTGGAAAAATTAATTCAAATTAATTGCGACAAAATCCAAATTTTTTCTTAAAATTTTTTTTTCGCATTGCTTCTACTTTAAGCTCGTGTCATGATTGCAAATATGCATTTTTATTAAAAATTCTTCTTGGCTTGAGTTAGCTGGATATTTTGCTATGCATCTGCGTAATTACTTTTTCAGAATTCGCTAATCCGTTTTTACTACTTTTAGCCGCTCTGGTCCCATAGTGCATCGCGATGTGATAATAAGAAAAGCTGGCAGCACTCTGCAAGGTTGAAACTATATACATATGGCCTCCAGATACCTGGCGCCCTCTGGTTGTAAGAAGTCTTGCTCGGGATAATGGGGGCTATGTCCCAGCTGACATCCCTTCCCCCATACTCGTGGGACAAACATGGAATATAACAATAATTTAAACCAAAAGCCAGAAGGAGCTGCACAGCTCCAAACAATGGCCAATGCTGGCCTTTCGACTTCTGTCGAAACAGAAACCATCGCTACAGAACTACTGGGGGCGCATAGTCCCTCGTAGGATGTAGAGATGGTGGATACTAGCGTGAGACAGGATGCAAGTCCCGTCAGAACGCTATCTGATATCTCGCCGGAGGATGAGCAGAAGTTGCTTGCCTTTCCGGTGAACAACTCATCTCACCAAGCTCGCTAAGCCGGAGCCGGTCGGAAACGATTCAAGCGGTACATAGAAAAGGGAATGAGCTATGAGCAGGCTAGAGAAAAAGCCAAAGAACCCGTTGGCCCACCACGGAGGGAAAAAAACTCTCCAAGAAAAGACCTAGGTCTGATAGCTCTACCCCGCAGAGGCGATCCCCGAAGAAATTTGCCAAATCTGGTGAGGGATCTGCAGGGGCCAGGCCAGCTGGGACTGCATCTGTGCCCACCGGTGAGGCAACTGTGCCGCATGCACCTGCAGATTGTCACGGGGAGCCAGTTTCCTTTAGGGATGCACTGTGCGGAGTGAAGCTGGGTTTAGTCCCAGAGGACTATCCAACCACAGTGTGGTCAACGGATGAGCTCAGAGCTATCCAAAATGCCATCCTCAGGGCGGTCAGGAGCAACACAGTTAGCGCTGTAAAGCCTATCTTCAAGGGTTGCACCTTCCACTCGGGATGGCTATCCATCAGTTGCAGAGATGCTGCGACCGCGGGGTGGATACGGAACACTGTTCCAAAGCTGGCTCCATGGAAGGGGGCGAAGATGAAAGTGGTCGAGGAGGCAGAAACACCTCGCCGCATCATTCTTGTGGGACTCTTCCCGGAGCTGGACAGCTCTGCCAGTGAGGATGCGCTCAGTCTGCTTCAGGCACAGAACGACGGCCTGAGAATTCCGGACTGGCGCATTCTGAATCGAGTACGCAGGTCAACAATGGCGGAAATCACCATTGCAGTTGACCCGCTATCAGCAGACACGCTAAAGCACCGCGGGAACGTGGTAAACTATGGCTTTGGCGTAGTAAAACTTAGGGAGAAAGCCAAACCGTCGATGCCCGTGGTAGACAAAGATGCCGCCGACACCGAATACCCTAACTCGGAGGAGCAACCTTGCTGCTCCAAAGACGTCGTCGTAGCTCCCAGGCAGCTACCCAATGACACGCAAGTGCAGCAGAAGTCATCGGAGGTTGGCACAGAGCTACACGTAATACACAGAGCTCCAACAACGCCTCCGAAAACAGCAACAACAACATGCCCGACCCTACAACAGGTGCTGGAAGAAGCCCAAAAGAACGTCGGACCCATCGCATCCCCAAAGCCTGCAAAACGGCCCCCACTACGTGGCAGCTCCAAAGCGGCTATTTCCAGCCGCAAAGGCAAAGGAGATGCAAGGACGGCCGAAGAAACGGTCTTGCTGAAGGGCAACAGGGGGAAGAAGGTGGCTGCTCGCAGCCGAAAAGACCGCAAGTAATGGCACCTCACCCCAAAAACTTCACAAATCCGAGGCACATTAAATGCCTCCAAGTGAACCTTCACCACGAGAAAGCAGCATCAGATGTTTTACATAGGAGGTTCACAAACGAAGGCTTAGGTGTAGCCTTCATCCAGGAACCCTGGATATTAAGAGTTGACGTCAAAGGCCTTAATATAAAGGACGGTAAGATTATCTATGCCGCCAGCTGTCGCCCAAGAGCGGCGATGCTATTAAGTAACAAACTAACGTTTCTCCCTCTTTCACAGTTCATTACGGCAGATCTCGTTGCGGTATGGGCCAAAATTCCGACTCCTAGGGGGGTGCAAGAGGCAGTACTTGCCTCCGCGTACTTCCCGGGTGAGGAGGAGATAGCCCCGACACCTGAAGTAAAGGCGCTTACTGATCACTGCCGGCGGAGTGGTATACCTTGGATCCTCTTCTGTGATGCAAATACCCATAGCACTGTTTGGGGGAGCACCGACACCAACAAAAGGGGTGAGTACCTCCTTGAGTTTATAAGTAGTTATAATATAAGTATTATAAACCATGGCAATGAACCAACGTTCAGGAACGCTATTAGAGGGGAAGTCTTAGATCTTACTCTAAGTAGTCAGAACATGGCAGCGTCTGTCACAAACTGGCGCGTCTCAGGGGAGGTATCAATGTCGGACCATATGCACATAGAATTCGACATTGGCCACTTTCCTGAACATGAACTAGTTTTTAGAAATCCCAGAAAAACGAACTGGGAATTCTTTCGCTTTATCATGGAAGAAGGTGGAAACAGCCATGGTGGTCAAATTACGACTGCGCACGAGCTTGAGACTGAAGCTGAACAGCTTCATTCAGACATTGGAATAGCTTTCAATAGTAGCTGTCCCCAAGGAAAGGTAAAATCCAAACGTGATGTGCCTTGGTGGAGCAAGAAGCTTGAGCAAATGAGATGCCAAGCCAGAAAACTATTCAATAGAGCCAAGAATACGGGTGATTGGAATCTGTACAAACTTGCACTAACTTTTTACAACAAAGAATTGCGGAAATCCAAAAGAGCTAGCTGGCGAAACCACTGCGAGGAAATAAAGAGCCTCCCAGAGGCAGTACGCCTCCAAAAAGCTCTAAATAGGGAACACAAAAATACGGTCGGCACTCTAAAAAAACCAGATGGTAGATATACTCAGCATCCGGGAGAGACTTGCAGACTTCTGCTAGACACTCACTTCCCGGGCTGCAAAGCGGGCTATTATCTACCGGAATTGGGTGTCCCAGCACGCACTTCTGGTAGCGAGCAAAGCCTTGCAACTAAACTTACCACGGTAGAAAGAGGGCAATGGGCGGTATCTACCTTCAGCCCATACAAATCACCAGGACCAGATGGGGTCTATCCTTGTCAACTCCAACAAGGAAGTAACTACATAGCCCCAGTCCTCTCCAGACTATACAGAGCGTCGCTCCTACTGGGTCACATTCCCAGTAGATGGACAGATGCTAAGGTGGTATTTTTACCGAAGGTAATTAGCCTCAGCTCCTTTCTCCTAAAAGGCATGGAGAAAATCTTGGATCAACACATCAGAGAAGTCAACCTAGCGGAACGACCACTGAATAAGAACCAATTTGCCTATCAACCAGGCAAGGCCAATGAGACTGCCATTCACAGCATTACATCGAAAATCGAAAAGGCTCTGGAGTTTAAGAACATAGCCCTTTGTGCCTTCATTGACATAACAGGGGCTATGCGGACCTGTCCTGCTGATGCACTTAGGGCTCTTGTAGGCATACCGCCCTTCCCAATTCTAATAGAGAGGAAGTCCAGTCTCTCGGCACTGAGAATCCTAAATACTTCCGAGTTAAAAACCGGAAACATGACAGGTCATATGAAGGTCCTTATGAAATTCACAAATGACCCCATAATGCATATGAGGGACTCAGTAGCTCCGATAATAGTAATTTCTAGGAATTTCAAGGTATCTATTGCGGACCGAGCATCCTGGAGCACAGGAAACCCCTACACCAAACCCGGAGCTGAAGTTTGGTACACTGACGGATCAAAACTTGAAGATGGAAAAACTGGAACTGGTATATTTGGGCCGAATTGTAAAAGATCGATACCAATGGGCAGCTACCCCACCATTTTCCAAGCAGAGATTCATGCGATCGATATCTGTGGCAGAGAATGCCTCAGAAGAGGCACATCCTCTAAAAACATCTGCATTATGTCGGACAGTCAGGCTGCCTTGCTAGCACTGAGGTCCCACATAATAACATCCAAACTAGTGAACGACTGCCTCAACACCCTAAACGGTCTTGAAAGCAAGAACACAGTATTACTGGGCTGGGTGCCGGGGCACGAGGGCCATGACGGCAATGAACAGGCGGACCGCCTAGCAAAACACGGAGCCACCACACTATTCCATGGCCCGGAACCCTTCTGCGGGCTCACCAAAGCCCACTTAAGGGAGGTCATAAACAAGTGGGTCGACAAAAAATTCGACAGGCACTGGAATGAATGTCCGGGGCAAAGACAAGCTAAGCGGTTCATCTGTCCATCACAAGAAGCTTCAAAAAAGCTCATAAATCTAGGCAAGGAGGACCTTCACTGGGTACTTCACGGGACATTGTTCCCTGCGTTATCACCTCAGTAAAATGAATCTTTCAGACACGAGCGTCTGTCGCTTCTGTGAGATGGACGAAGAAACGCCAGAACACATCCTTTGTGAATGTGTTGCTCTCGCTAGACGCAGACTCGCTCACCTAGGTGGTACAACACTTAATCCATTCGAAATATGGAACAAAAAGCCCACCGAAGTGCTAGCTTATATTAAAAGCCTTCATATATAGGGTAAAGGGCCACGCAAAATAGACCACCCTAGAGGTCGCAGTGCTCAAGGCTCATAATAATAATAATAATACATATATATTACTTCAACGTTGCAAAAACTTTCAAAATTAAATTTTGCTTTGTGTTAATATGTAATTTACCACAATTCAACTACATTTAATAAAAATGCTTGCTGCTTTACTAAAACTTTATTCCTTTTTTAAAAGATAAATATGATCCGAAAAATAAATATTTTGAGGTAGCGCTTTTTAAAGGATTTAAAAGAGCACTAACGGAGCACTTTGTTAAAGCGCTCACCAAAGGCTTTGTTAGGAGCAAAACGAAAGTGCTTTTTAAAGGCTTTAAAATAGCACTCACCAAGGTCTTTTTTAGGAGCAGCAAGAGAGCGCTTCTTTCTAATGGCACACAATTTTAAAATACAATGAAGTGTGGAATTAGGAATGGAGCGCTTACTGCTGATTATGGGTGCTCCAGTAGCACTAATAGAGCGCTTCAAGTCCCGTTGGGTTTGTATGTATATCAGTGTAAATCAGGGTCCTGACGTGCTTATGTGACTGCGCATCAACTTATGATATCGTCACTTCTGAAAGTTCGTGTGTTTCATACATTTCAGGTACAGGAACCTCCCAGGGAATAGGAACTGCATCTTGGTATAAACGCATACGCTCAAAAATATGTTCCTGCAAGTAATAAAATCATTCGCGTTGAAATGATTTTCGCAGACACGGGAAGAATCTTCCAATTGAACACCGCAGCGGTTCTCCCAACGAAGTATTCTAACTTCGCAACTAGGCGCCTTAAAGTATCACACCACCTTTACGTCCTGGCTCTTGCTCCTTTTCATTTTTGTACACGTATCTATAAATGGATGTGGTCGAAAAACCAAAAAATTCAGACAAGTCAAAACTATCTCACAGCACGCAATTGAATTTTTAATGAAAAATAGAAAAGTTATTAATCATTTGACATTATAGTCGGTGTTCAAAAGAGAGAAATGTTAAAATCACTTCTACCTTATTTAATATGCGATAATATACGATAAAATTAGGTTGGACACCGAAAATTTACCGGTTTATTCTCAGATTATTTTATAACTAGCTGACCCGGCGAACTTCGTCCCGCCCAAAATTTATTTTTTTTATTCAAATATTTTTTACAAAGTTTTCACCACAATTCACCTTCACGTTTTGTGATCGTCAGAAAGCATATCCTCCATTGCCGTCTTAAATAACCTAACGAAAGCGTTATGTCCGTGAAGAAATTCTCGCGGAATCTGTATAAAAAAGGTGGTGGCAATTTCAAAATGAGAGAACACCATTGGCCTACAGAAATCCAATATACATACTTATTTCAGACGAAATACCATAAATGTCTTACAATTGAATTTGTAGGCATTCATCAAGGATTGGCTTTATTTTGCTTAGTCGCCGCAAAGCAAGGACCGCAATGTTAATGGTGGTCGATTTAACGGTGGTAATTTGATTTTGATCCCTGGTGTCTCTGAATGACGATTTTTAGCAATAACTCGACTCCAGACCCACCTGGCGAGCCATTTTTTCGCAGAAATATTTTCCTTCACGTTACCAATACATATTTTGAATATTAGCCAGATCAGATCATAAATACGATTCTCGACTCCAGCGCCACTTGGCTTTTCAAGTTGTGAACCTAAACTATACAGGGACTTTAGGACAAAAATTTCATTAAAATCATTTCGGTCGTTTAGGAGGAGTTCACTCGAAAATACACGTACCGAAGAATTATATATGTATTTATAGATAGTATGTTTGGAAGGCTCCAGGCCCTCTTTACCAATAGCCCCCACTTTTCTCCAAGAGTATGGGATTGATTTCTAAACCTTCATACCAAGTTCCAGGACCACAAATGATTTCAGAAATATTCGGTGGCTACAACCAAAAAAAGCCTATTTCAAAAAAATCAGTGCAGCCGTTCGCGAGATCACTTCTTACAAAAAGGTGGCACTTCTCTTAATATAATTGGTATAGATAATAAGTATCGATAAATAGCAAATACCCGCTTGCTTTGCGGCTTCTTAAAACATTTAGAACTGTAAAACAATCATTCAATTCTATTTTATATAATAGATCGGTCCCTGGTCCACCTATAAGAAAAAAGTATCATATATGTTAATCCAGGCAGTAAGCTGCTTACGCGCCATATTTCAAACAAATTGATATCTGTTAAAGTTCAAGCAAATAGGACGACAAATAAAACTCTTTCGAATAGATCGGTATCTGGGCCACTTCACGGAAAAGAGAATCATATATGCTAATCTAGACAAAAAGCTACATACGTACCAAATTTTAAGCAAATCGGGCCATAAATACGATTTTTTCGAATAGTTCGGTCCCTGGTCCACTTCCCGGAAAAAGGATCCTATATGCTTACCTAAGCAAAAAGCTACCTACGTTCCAAATTTTAAGCAAATCGGTCCACAAAATACGATTTTTTCGATTGGATGGGTTCCTGGTCCATTTCCAGGAAAAAGGATCATATATGCTAATCTAGGCAAAAACTACCTACGTACCAAATTTTAAGCAAATCGGGCCATAAATACGATTTTTTCGAATAGATCGGTCCCTGGTCCACTTCGCGGAGAAAATGATCATATATGCTAATCCAGGAAAAAAGCTATCTGCGTACCGAATTTTAAGCAAATCGGACCATAAGTACGATATTTTCGAATAGATCGGCCCCTGGTCCACTTCCCGGAAAATGGACACTATAAGCTAATCTAGGTAAAAAGCTACCTACGTACCAAAAAAAGCTATCTGCGTACCGAATTTTAAGCAAATCGGACCATAAGTACGATATTTTTCGAATAGATCGGTCCCTTGTCCACCTACCGGAAAGAAGTAAATGGTAAGTAAAGTAAAACATGGTGGTTGCTGAGAGCTATTTATATACAAAATTTCATGAAAATCGGACCAGCCGTTCGCGAGATTACCTCTTACAAAAGAAGGGAAGTTTATATAATTAGTTTAGATTTAGATTACAGACTAAGGGCCGGTTGCTCATAGTTATCGACGTTACCGACTCCCTGTTGTATGCATGGAGTCGAAGACGTCGATAACGATGTTTAACCGCAGATTAGAGTTAACCGGACATTGAGTAACCGTCCGTAAATGTACTAAGCATAGAAAATTACGTGATAGGTACATATGTGCTACCGAAACTGTGATGTGGGGACTAGGGATGTTTCGAATGTCATATTTTTCACATTCGCGAATGCGAATTTTCGGAATGCGAATGTGCGAATGCGAATGATAGGAATAACATTAAAAAAGCTATAATCAATTTAAGTCATCGGTTTTATTACTTAAAAATTTTGTAAATTATTAAAATTATTAGCATATATGTAATACTTCTATATTGGCAGTCTCTACAAGTGCAGTCAGCAAATTTTACAGTACAGACATATAAACTAGTAATTTTTAGAAAAAAAAACCGACTTCAACTACCATATAAAAAAAATATATATATATATATCTCATGATCCACTGATCGGATCTCAACCAGATTAGTATGGGACCACCTCTGAGACACTACCTTTCCGATGCAAAAAGACATCATATGGTATGACATCATATGATATGACATGACATCAGAGGATATGACAACACATGGCATGACATCCTATCACATCACATAAAATCACGTCACATCTTATCACGTCATCGCACCTCTTCTCATCTACGTGAATAGAAAAAGAAAAGGATATAAGCAAAGATGTGAAAGATAAAAACAAAGATGAAGACCAAGGTAAAGTTACCGATTTCAAAACCAGAAACACCGTTTGAAAGTAATTTTCTGTAGATGAGGAGAGTTTTTATAGTTTCGAAATTGGTTGAAAATCGTCGTTAAAAAATTTCCATATTTGTTAATGGTTGTTTTTGCAACTTGTTCAATTCAAGCGTTTCTCATTTTTTTACTTCGTATTTGAAATTAAACTTTGAAATAAAGATAAATATGAAGATGAAGAAACAAGTGATAACGATGAAGACAAAAAAAGTCAAAAGTGAAGATAAAGACGAAAATTGAGATAAAGGCGAAAATGGAGACAATGAGAAATACATAAGAATTATGTTATAAGAGCTGAAATTTTCCGATAGGAATCGAAATAAAATCAGCCATAAAGGTTACTGAAATTTACCGAATCATCGAAGTTTATAATTATCGAAATTTATCCATGCTTATTAAGTTGGCGCAACGTATCGAATTATTCAAACTGATCAATGTTTACTGAGTTGTCGAAATTTATAGACACAGAAACTTAGTTGTCCAAATTTACGGATAGTTATCGAGCTATAAAAACGTGTGTGATTAACGAAATTTGTCAAGTTAAAGAAATGTATCAAGTTATCGATATTTATTGAATTATCATTATTTATAGACTTAACGAAATTTATCGATGTGTCGTAATGCATGGAGTTCTTTCAACTTACAGAGTTATCGATAATTATTGATCTACTGAAATTGGTTGGTTCAACGAAGCGAAGTTTATGGAATTTTCAAAATATATCATTTTATCGAAATTTCAAGGTTATATAAACTTATCGATTTATCACTGCTTATCGCATTTAATCGTCTTAACAGAGTGTAACGAGTTA